CTCTCTCTCTCTCTCTCTCAATCAGAATCAGTTTCAGCCCGGCCCTCTTTGGCCTTCTGCAAGGGCCTGAAAATAGTCAAAAAATCCCAGAACAATTTTTTCGGGGTTGGGCCATGAACGAACCAAAAAATCATTAAAAAAAAAAAACAACATATTCCGGACCTGTCGGACCGGGCGTCCATCCGGACATCCAGACACGGACAGTCCGGAATGGGATCCGGATGTTCGGACGGCATCCATGCCTTCGGGACATCCATTAAAAGGATTGGAACGATATAGAGACAGGGTCTCGCCGCGCAGCACACGAAACGAAAACGAAACGAGTGCATCTGCCCACGAAAGGTGGCAAAATACACTCGTTACTATTTATAGCAAACCGATGAAGCTGGCCATTTTCTGCAGGAAGATGCACTCGTTTCGTTTTTCGTTTTTTATCGCATGCAGCGGCGACGCCCACAGAGAAAGAAGATCATCATGCGCCCTGCGCAAGGATGACAACCATCAAGACATCCATGAAAAGGATTAGAACGAGAGAGAGAGAAAGAAGATCAGCATGCGCCCTGAGCAAGGATGACAAAAAAAAAAAAAAAAACAGTCCAAAAAAAAAAAAAAAAAAAAAAAAAAAAAAAAAAAAAAAACACACACACACACACACTAAGTTCCCAAATTCCTAAAACCCTACCTTCACAAAAGACTAAAACCCTAATTTCCCAGAAACCCTAACTTCTCCCAAACCCTAACTTCCCCCCCACCCTTCTTCTTCTTCTTCCCTTCTACACCCTAACATCTCATCAAGAAGGGAAGACGAAGGGTGACCGCCTTGATGAGATGCCATCTTGAGTAAATGTTTAGTCTTTAAGTTCTCTTAACTCATGTGGCTCGTACGGCTTCGAACTCAGGTCTGCATATCAACAGATCATGTGTGTAACCAACTGAACTAGCTTCTACAGCTATAATGACCGTACATTGTATTCAGGGGAAGAAGGTAGGCCAGTTGGTACAACTTCCCCCAAACCCTAACTTCCCTGAAAGCCTAAAACACGACGAAACCTTAAAAGTTAAAACCCTAAGTTTTCTCAAAAAAGTAAACAGGAAAAAAAACCTGAAAAAAAGAACATTTGTTTCCTATTTTGGGTGCAAATGGAGGGACGTTCAAAAACGTTAGCAGGACAGGATGACAGACAGGTTCACGCTCAAAATCGCAGGAAGCCACGTGCTTTATTTTATTTTATTTTATATATTTTTATTTTAGTACTTGGACAAACATACAACAACAAAAAAAAAAAAAACTTGAAAAACGTTACTACCCCCGAATGGTCTTTTTTTGACCCCTCTCAGTCTCGTGATCCTTGGGTCGGTCGGGTTCTCGACAACGAAGGGGGGGAGGGATGGGGGCCGGGGGAGGGAGGACGGGGAGAATTAGACACGACGATCAGATCCACCAGATAGAATTCACACAATTCCAC